GCTTGGCCCTGAAATCTGAGAGAGAGATCAGAGCTGATGGAAAAACTGAACCCCTCATCACTCTGCTTCCTCTCTTGGAGATGAGGGTAAATGAGCAGTGGGTTGTGGGAGATGAAAGATCTGTACTTTCTCAGGCTAAGCACTTGTATGCAGGGCTTTCTGCTGTTTGTGAAGCCTGGTTTGTACCATAGCTCTGGAACAGCCATACTCTGCAGGCACGTGGCCAGCTTGTAACTGAGCACAGAGAAGCCTGGGCTCAGGCCTGCAGCATGTGGTGCCTGCATGGATGAGAGGCATGATCTGCTGCTGCTGATGGAAGTGGTTACAGGTGTCAGGACTCAGCCACAGGTGTGTGAAGAGCTCTGTGGTAGTGGGAATGCTCACCTACTGTTGGCTTGTTTGGCATCAGCAGCTTAATGCAGGTGGCAGCAAAAATCTCTGTTCTGCATCTTCACAGTGCTACACTCTTCCTGATGCTTTGTTCTCCTGGTTCTGTAGCAGAAAAGAAAGTTACTTTCACTGACACTGGAAAAGCCTAAGAAGTGGTATTGGAAGAGGACGTGAAAGATGGCAGGCTATAGCAGGAGGGCACAGCTGTGGGAATGGCAGAACCCCAATTTATGGAGAGGAAGAGGGAAAGTGTATGGCTGTGTGCTGAATCCTAGCATGTGTACGTGAGGTCTGAAATTATACAGTACAAAGAACCTCTATTCTCTTATTTCATAAAACATTACAGGCTTTATAATTCTCTTATTTAATCTGTATATGCATGTATGCATCCATAAAAACAATATTGCGCTCAGTAAAGAATAATGTTCTTGTTTACTATTGTGATGAGAACTTGCAGGTGTGTCAATTGCAGCAGGAAGTTGTTAGTGAAACCTCAGAAGTTCCTTATTTTTTTTTTATATTTGTTTGTTTTAATGGCACTTGCTTTGTTTTCCTGTGTTATAAATCATAGCCCCAAAGTTTGTGAAGTCATCACTTACTCTGCAGCCCATTTCCTCTTCACTGGTGTCCTTCAGGTCTTGCAAATGTATAGAGAGGAGGCCTGAAAATATAGACCCAAATTCTCCTATCTAAGTCTTATTTATTAGATAAGAATAGACTAAAACTGCAATCCTATTACAGCATTCTTTCTATATCAAATCTAAAGTGAGATGATGAGAATGGGATGTCCACTGATAGCTTTGGCCATCAGAAAAAGTTCTTTATATTAAAAAAAAAAAAATAAAGCAACCTGTTTATTTAAGTACTGCTGAACATACCAGTTATTGGAGTTACACAGAAATAGTAAAATCGTGTCAGAAGTGACAATTAGTTCTTCCTTTGCATGTGAAGTGTAGCACCTACCCTGAGTGCAGAGCTAATCCACTGGATTTGTAGAGATTAGGTTCCTGACTTTTTTTGAAACTGGGATTTGAGCCTGTGCAGTGCCATATGGATGATAAATCTATTGTTACAACCACAGAATGCAATTTAGGATGGTGCTAAATACGCTGGCTGTGATCCAGCAATGCAGTTATGGGTGTATTTTACTTCAGAAGTGCTGTGGAATCCCATTGACTGGAATTTGGCAAGGAGTGGGAGCTCTGCAGACTGCCTGGTGGTGTGACAAAAGGCTGTCTGCTATCCCCAGGAACTTGGAACACGAATACATCTCTGGGGTGTCATATCATAAGGAAAAAAAATGAGGCCATTGGGGGGGAAAAAAAAAAAAAGTAGTATATCTGTAGAATAATTCAGGAGACTTTCTGAAAAGTAGTTCTCCGAAATAGTGAATATACTAGTTTTGATTAGAGAGAGAGGTTTTGTTAATTCCCTTCTTCCAGATGTTATCTTTTTTTTTTCTTTCTTAAGGAATCTTTAGGTTTAAGGAATGCTCAGCAGCTGCTTTTTCTTCTATACTAAATGATGATTAATTTTTGGATACATTTCTGCAGAGGAGGACTGGTTTACTACTACACTTGGCTGTCTTTTTGCTGAGCCTTTGCAGCCTCATTTTTGACAAGGTGTTGGTATTTGCTTCTTAAAGATGATGAGAATTAAGATATTACTGATTCATACAGTGTGCTGAACAAAATACCAAAACACAGTGATGGAAGTACCTAACTAATGAGAAAACAGCTATGCCTGTACATCTGCCCATGGAATCTCCCTTTAAGTAAGGTCTGTGCTTGTCTGTTAGGCCTTACTCCAGCAGTGGTCCATATGTAGCAAATGATGTGGTCCTGCTGAGCATGAATTATATGGCTGCTTGCATCTTGGCTCAGAAACTTGGATTTGTACAACTGGTTGCTGAACTTATTGGCATCTTTTGTCAAGACTGCAGTAAATTATGGTGCTTGTGCTCAGACTTTGTTTTTCCCCCTGAGTTCTGAGGCGATGTTCCAATTTTCCCATTATGAATGGCATGGTTTTATTTGCCCACCAGTTGTCATTCACCATGTTACTTCCATTAGTGCAGCAGTGTATAGTTTGCATTTGGAAATGCCCTTTTTGTGAGAGAAAGAAGAACAGTATTACATTTTCATCTGGCAGTCCCTACTACTCTGTCAGTGCTATAGTGATGCACTTGCTGTGTGAGAGGCTGCAGGTGTGCCCTGAGCAACTTCCAGAGAACAATCTCAAGAATAACTTCATTTATTGCTTGACTTACTTTCCACAGTTAAGCTCAACAGCCATTTTTCTGTATCATGTGTCTGCTTTTAACAACAGAAGAGCTTGCATGTGATGATTACACCTGCAGTCTCTAGCATTCACTTAGCTGATTAGAAGAAGTTGTATATGCAGGTTGTACCTTATGGCTGACTTTTATGCAGGCTCCAAAGTACGAATCCTCTGGTCCATTGAAATCTGCATCAGAACAAAGAGAGAAGCTGGTGATGCAGGTTGTCATTTTCATTTCTGTTTGAATGCTTGATGTTCTGTGAGAGAGTAGAGAGTGGATAGGAGATGACGTGGTACTTGGGTTCATTACACAAGGTGGAAATTCTTGTGTATTCTACAAAAATTATCTAACGTTGTTAGACTAGTCAGGCCCAGTATTCAATATCAAATTACTTGCTGGTATGAAGACAACTAACTGGTGACAGAGAATATGCTGATTGTGTCTTTTCTGTCTTTAATTTTGTTCTCTTTAGGTCAATTGCATGTTGGGAATGGTCTCAGAAGCAGAATAGTTATGCCAGTGTTAGCAGCTTAGCTGTGGACACAGCTGTTTTAGTGAGACTTGGCAACAACTTCTCTAATGCCAGTGAGGCAGTACCTGTCTGCAGATCTTTGATGTGGGATGCTGTGTATTTGTGGGCATGAAGGTCTGTTCTGCTGTCAGCCGGGAAACAGCACAATGTATTTCCCCTGTTTTTCTAGAAAGCAGATAATGAGATTGAATCATGCTCTTGTGAAATGAAACTCCTTGAAAGTGGACGGCGTGCTGACTGGCACCTGATGGAGTTCTTATGTCAGCATTCACTTCCTTTAACAGAAACGAGTTTTGGTGAACAATTCGCCCTTTAGTTTCTCGTCAGCTAGGCGCACAGGCTTTTTACCTTTGATCCTGGTTGCTTCTCTTTAGCCTTGGTTAAGTACAAAAATGATAGTCTTGGCTTTGGTGCCCTCTTGTGGTGTAATGCATTGGCCTGGCTGCCGTTTTACAAGGGAATTAATAAGTATACAAAGTATTGTTGCAGCTCAAAATGTCTTCTGGTAGCTTACACCAAACGAAGTGACTCTTTTATTTGCTTTGAATGAGCACTTCTGTGTATGGCAGGTTTCTTTAGCTGCCTCTGTGTAACTGAAAGTACTTCTGTCCACGATCCAGTGACTAAGGATCTATTATAGGTAGAAGGTCTGGACACATGGGCAAAATGTGTTATATTTCAAGTTGCTGGTTTACCTTGTGTTCTCCTGCCTCACCGGTACAGCTGCTTCTACTTAAGAGGATCCAAAGTTAGATACAAGAAGGCTTTAGAGATAAATCAGACTCCTAAATATTTGTGATTTGTCTGTGTAAAAGTGTAGTCTTCTGTACTTATGTATATATTTTTATCCTATTAGCATCCAATCATTATCATCACTTAATAATTTCATTTTTTTAATGCCCGATTGATTACTATTGCAACTTCTTAAGAATTTTGTAATATGTTCACAACATCCTCTGTATGCATGCATTGGATTTGCACACATGAACTGTGCTTTAAAGCAGACACTGGGAAATCAAGCTTATAACATCAATCACATCATAATGGCAACACATGTTTGTTTGCTTGAGTGTTCAGCATTTCAAAAGGTTCACCTGATTTGAGATCTGGAAGAAACCTACACTTGCACGTAGTGGACAGCATCCAGTTTGGGTCTTAAATGTTATGCTTCCCAGATAAGTCAAGCAGCATCTCAGGGAGTGGTGGGCACAAATGAAGCTGCTTAGGGAAGGGTCTGAAGGCAGAGGCTGCAGAGCTGGGCAGCTGCAAGGAGCAAGCACACAGCCTTACTTCCTAGCTGGAGCACAGGGCTTCTTGGGACTGAGTCTGCTGCAGATCCCTGGTCATGCTTTAGCAACCAGAACCTGCCCTGAAGGACTCACTTGGACAGGGGAACAAACCTTTGTGTTC